CCCACCGGTCTCCCAAGGATGGATCATTCCCAGTGCCTTGTGACTATATACGCCTTGGTGGTTCTGCTGGGTCTCCGGCTAGAGCAGGGCGCCTGCCAGCACTATCTGCACATCCGACCGGCTCCCAGCGACAACTTGCCCTTGGTGGATCTAATCGAGCACCCGGACCCTATCTTTGACCCCAAGGAGAAGGATCTTAACGAGACCTTGCTAAGGAACCTCATGGGCGGACACTTCGACCCCAACTTTATGTCTGTTTCCTTGCCCGAGGACCGGCTCGGAGTGGACGATCTAGCTGAGCTGGACTTGCTGCTCAGGCAGAGACCCTCGGGAGCGATGCCCAGCGAAATCAAAGGGCTGGAGTTCTACGACGGGCTGCAGCCGGGCAAGAAGCACAGGCTGAGCAAGAAGCTGCGCAGGAAGCTGCAGATGTGGCTTTGGTCCCAGACCTTCTGCCCGGTCCTATACACGTGGAACGATCTCGGCAGCCGCTTTTGGCCCCGGTATGTCAAAGTGGGCAGCTGCTACAGTAAAAGGTCTTGTTCAGTCCCCGAAGGCATGGTTTGCAAACCTGCCAAATCCGTGCATTTAACGATCCTGAGGTGGAGGTGCCAGCGCCGGGGCGGGCAGAGATGCACATGGATACCCATCCAGTACCCCATCATTTCGGAGTGTAAGTGCTCCTGCTAGGGCTGGCACTTTCCTTCGCGCCCCTTCTCCAGCGGACTCACGTGGACCTTTGCTGCAACAGAAATAAAAGACATTTGCTTTCTGGTTAACGTTGTAATGCACTGTAACGTGTAGGAGAATGTATATTGTGTGTGTATATATGGCACCGGTTTAATATACTATTAAGAGGTCAGTATTATACGTGAAATAATCAGCGTCTACTGTATTTTCAAGACTATTACCCTGATCGTTGCTAATGTATCTTTTTTTGGTATTTATATTCCAGAGAGAAGTTGCTTCGCTTGGGCGAAGTAGTTTTTTGTTGGGTGTTGTTTTGTTTTTTTTAATAAAAGGATTAAAAAATACAAACCAAGCTTTTTGATAAGAAAACGTTTAAAGCTATTTTCCATTATTCGGAAAGCGTGTGTGTGAGGGTTTTTTTTCTTTTTCCTTACGGACTTTAGATTTAAAATAAAAATGAATAAACGCCTAGAGCACAATGTTATTGTAAATAGAGAGAACAGTTTGAATGACTTAATCCTATGTAAATGAAGAGTATCTGCTATTTATTCTTTATATCCTTGTAGTAAAAGTGCAGTGCAGAATTAAAGTCAACCACTAAAACACGAGCCGTTTGGATTCTGTTTGCTTTTTGGTTTGGCCGCTGTCGGGGGGGCTTTCTTCTCTCTTCTCCTCGTTCTCCACGCTCAGCAGGACGTTCTGCGGTGGCAGGGGGAGGTGGGAACCTGCTCACGACTCTGTTCGAGGGGCTGTGCGGCACCTACGCCGCCGGAGTGCCGCGGGCTCCGGCCCCGCACGATGGGGGGCGGCCGGCGGGGGTCCCTGCGCTCCGCTCCG